CTACTACGACGGACTACTACTACAACTACTACAACTACTATGACTACTACTACTACGACTACTACTACTGCTACTACTACTACTACTACGACTACTACTACTACTACTACTGCTACGACTACTACTACTACTACTACTACTACTACTACTGTGGCTACTGCTACTATTACTACTACTACGACTACTACTACTACTACTACTACGACTACTACTACTACTACTACTACTACTACTACTACTACTACTACTACTACTACTACTACTACTACTACTACTACTACTACTACTACTACTACTACTACTACTACTACTACTACTACTACTACTACTACTACTACTACTACTACTACTACTACGACTGCTACTACGACTACTACTACTACTACTACTACTACTACTACTACTACCACCACCACTCCAACTACTATTGCGATTATTACTTCTACGTTAGCTACTACTACGGTTTCTACTTCTACTACGACTGCTACTACTACTACTACTACTACTACTGCTACGGCAACTTCTTCGGAGACTGCTGCTATTATCACTTCATCTTCGGGTACGCCAGATAGGGACCAAGAGAAGGTGGTCAGCGCATCATGGCCCGAGGCATGTGCGCGGACAAGTAGGCCAGGGGACGTTCTCAAAGAAGAAGTGGGAGCCATTGCACCTGGGAGGCTTCATGGGCCCCGCCACTACATTCACACACACGCTCACCTATCCCACACCGCCATCACGCATAGTTGCTTTCGAGTCAGAAATTGGGCCTTCGGTGGCCGTTCAAAACGGAAAGCAGCCTGGATCGCGAAAATTAGCCTGACGAATGACCCAACCATATGCAGCTGCGAGTACCGCGAGGGAGATGAGACGAAGGAGGGGGGCGCGCAAACTCCGAGTATCGCACGCGGTATAGCCTTCTGCCACGAAACGTCTGAAGGGTGTGCCGACATGAGCCGAGCGGACGCATGCGAACGTCGCCATTGGGGCCTTCCAGGAGCTCCCTACGGGGCTACGAAACGTGTGAGGGGTGTGTGCCAAAATTGTGCGGCGGTGCCATGCGAACTTTCCCAATGGAGCCTGAAAGGGAGCTCCTTGTGGGGCCACGAACCGTGTGAGGGGTGTGCCGTAATGGAGCGGCGGTGCCATGCGAACTTTCCCACGGGGTCTTAGGTGGAGCTCCCTATTGGACCACGAAACGTGTGAGGGGTGTGCCGAAATGGGGCGGCGGAACCACTCGAACTTTCCCACGGGGCCTTAGGTGAAGCCCCCTATGGGGCCACGAAACGTGTGAGAGGTGTGCTGGATTGGGGCGGCGGTGCCATTCGAACTTTCCCACTCGTGCCTCCAGTGGAGCTATCTTTGGAGCCACAAGCGTGTGAGGGGTGTGCCGAGCTGGGGCGGCGATGTCATGCGAACTTTCCCGCAGGAGCCTTTCTGGTGGAGCCCCATATGGGACCACAAAACGTGTGTGGTCTGCCGAAATTGGGCGGAGGTGCCATGCGACCTTCTCGCTGGGGCCTCAGGTGAAGCTCCATATGGGGCCACGAAACGTGTGAGGGGTGTGCCGAAATGGGGGGCGGTGCCATGCGAATTTTCCCACTCACACCTTCCTTTGAGCTCCCTATGGGGCCACGAACCGTGAGGGGTGTGCCGAGATGGGGCCGCGATGCAATGCGACCTTTCCCACTGGGGCCATAGGTGGAGCTCCCTATGGAGCCACGAATCGTGTGAGGGGTGTGCGAAATGAGGCGGCGGTGCCATACGAACTTTTCCACCGGGGCCTTAGGCGGAGCTTCTTATGGGGCCACGAAGCGTGTGAGGGGTGTGTGCCGAAATGGGGCGGCGGTGCCATGCGAACTTTCCGACTAGGGCCTTAGGTGGAGCCCCCTTATGGGGCCACGAAGCGTGCGAGTGGTGCGTCGAAATGGAGTCGGCGGGGGAATGGGATGGGGCAGCGGGAGGTGAGGAACGCGGGGCGCTGTCTTTTCACAACGATGACCCAATACCACAGGACGGTTGCGAAAAACCCAAGAAGCAACAACGACACCCTCAGTCCTCACCCTCTGCGGCGTTCCAGATGCCACTGCAACTACTCCTCCTACCAACTGCCCCCGTCTCGATAAAGGCTTAACGGCTCCTGCTGCCCCTCGACTAGCGACGGAGATTCTACGAGCTCTCGAAACGCACCTGGAGATCATTGGAGCTACACCGATCTCTCTGAACAAAGGATTACGAACTCGCAAGTCGCATTGGAGAAACAACTGGGGCGTTGACCAACTTAAGTAAGAGTGGCCCCGTTCTTGCATTGATCTGGCGAGACAAGCTCGAAACCTACGATGAGTGCGTGTTGAGCATTTTCCCGTATCCCGTAGGCTCGTTATGGCATCTGCGTGCAAATAGAGTCGGCCTAGATGCATTCCACTGCAGAAGTCTAAAGCGCGTGCTACGTGTACACTGGTCGAACATGTCTCGCATAAACACTGTTGAGGTGTTGCGCGGAGCATCAGTGCAACTTTTTTCCAATCTTCTCAATGTCAAGCAGACTGCACTGGATGCAAAAGTTGCCAGCAGCGGCGCGGCCTCGATAGTGCGGGGCTCTCTGCGCAACCTTGATGGCACCCTGCGCATCTGGGCGACCAAGCCGCGGCAGCAATTGACGACGCCTGTGTTTCAGATGATTTCATAATTCAACCAAGTGGTTCAATTGTCATTCGAAGTGCTCGCACGCTCTCTGGACTCATCGGCAGCGCGCTGAGGGGGAAGCGCGAAAGGGGGCAGGCCTTCTCAGAAGTCGGCGGGGCTTCTCAGAAGCCCTGCGGCCTTCTCAGAAAGCCGCTGTGGCTCCGGAGAAAGCTCAGAAAGCTCCTCAAAAGGCCGAAGGCCTTCTGACCCTTCTGGGAAGGCCCGCCCCTTTTGCCGTCCCCCCGTGGGCGCGCCGCCGAAGCTACATCGACCTACGCAAGTGAACCCCTCTCCACCTGGCTTGATCCCCGCAAGCCGACCGCCCCCCCCCTCAAAGGGCAGCGCGGCGCGCCGCGGCTCTGGCATCGGCGAGCCCGGCGGCGGCAGCATCTGCGTGCCCGGCCCCTCCGCACGTGCGGCGGGCGCGCGCTCGGGAGAGGGGCAGCTCTGCACGTGACGGACGCCGCGCGGCCCATCCTTGGTGTGTCATCGTGGTGGCCCTCCTTCGCTATCGCCTCCGCCTCCTCCTTCGCCCCCTCCCCGTTCTCCTCGCCCTCCTCCTCGCCCGCCTCTTCCTCGCCCTCCTCCTCCGCTCCTGCTCATAACTCCCCTCCTCCTCCTCCTCCTCCCTCCTGTTCCTCCTCCTCTTTTCCTCCCTCCCCCATCGCCCCAGCAACTACGAGAAAACCGCCAAAACATCATCACGTGCAACCGTGGAGACACGGGCGCGCATCGCTCTTGCCCAGTCCTGTGCTCTTTGCCGTGTGATATTCCGACACAGCATGCACCCTGTTTCCAGGATGGCCACAATAATGCAACAGTGGCAAAACACAAGCAAGAATTGGACCGCGGACGCCATGCTTCCCCGAACGCGGTGCCCCCCGGCGCCGCGACTGGATCTATCGCTCCCCCCATCCACCAGGTCACCCCCCTTTCCCCTGAGGCGGAACGATAGGGGAGAACTGGCCCATGGGGGAACGCATCGAGCTGGAATCGGCGACACGTCGCCGATAGGTCGCGACACCCAAAATCTATGGGCGGGGTTCCGGCCCGTATCGGCGATGAATGGGCGGTAGGGGGTTGATGCGTTCCCCCCCGAGCCTGATCCCGAAGCACGTTGCTCTTGAACCCCACATCGCGCCTGCTCCGGGAACTTCTCCGGCAGCGGTGCAATGGGGCCCGACGCCTTCCCGTATCCGCTAGGAGATCACGCGGTGGATGATGAGCGAGGGGCAGGCAAAACCAGCCATCATCAAATCGGCAGCTCGGGTCGGATCGAAATGTGCGTCAGATCAAATTGATCGGCATGGAGTCGGAATCGGCTCGGATCGGCCGCGTCACGGTGCACAACAGCGCCATGTGAACATCGGGCCGCATCGGATCGCTGGGACAACTAACTCGAATCGAATCTGACCGAGCCAAGAGACACCGGCATCGAAGCGGAATGAGCGGATGGAGCTGTGCCCTGGAAGATGAGCGGGAGCAGGAGGAAACGGCGGGGGCTCGCTCGGCTCTGTCCCTCTCATTCCCTACCTAGGCTCTGCCTAGAAGGGTTCTTACTCGGTTTGCTTGTAAGGGCCGGGCAGTGGGGCACGCCCCGGGCGGTTCCCCCGGCATCAGCCCCGCGGTTCCCCCAGTAACGTTCCCTTCGTTTCGCGTTGCCTATCTCATCTTAGCTTAGCCCATTTCATTTTAGCTTAGCTTAGCTTCGTCCTAGCTCAGGCTTATCTTAGCTTAGCTTACATTCATTCTAGCTTCGCCGGACTTTAGCATATCAGAGCACGGTATAGCATAGCATAGCATAGCATATCAGAGCACAACATATCATAGCAAAACCCAACATAGCACATCATATCGCAGCATTGCATAGTGTAGCAACGCGTCGCATATCATATCATCGTGCAGCTTAGCATATCATAGCATAGCATATCATAGCTTAGCATACCACAGCGCAGCATGACATCGCATACCACAGCATATCACATCATAACATAGCGCAGCATTTGAATACATATCATAACATATCATAGCGCTGCATAGCATGCCATAGCACAGCATCGCATAGCAATTAATGTTTGTTTCCTCGGGGCTCAAACTTCTAGGCTGGGTCACACTGGGGTAATTGTTGTTTGTGTCTCTCTCTCTCTCTCTTTCTATCTCTCTCCCCCTCTCTCACAAGAAGCAAGACTATGACCCGAAGGACTTGGCATGAGTTCGCAGAACATTTTTTCCACGCTAAACCGGCGGGGGAGAAAAAAAGGAATCCGCTGCCCCTCCAGGGGGCTATCCGAACGAAGGCGACCGCAGGGCCGTGAGGCCGTGAAACAAAAACCTGCAATATGGCCCCGGACTCGGGTGACGCGGCTTGCGAAGGTCATTCCATGCTCTTGGAGCCCTACTCCATACGAGCAAATGTCGACATAGCGGGAGGATGAACATCAATCGCACCGCTCCTGAATGCAAACGCCCACGGCTGCCGATAAATGGCAAAGCCTGCGCTCATTGCCAATCTGCACGTGAAAAAGGACAAGGGCCCTGGTTGCTACCAAGCCAAAAGGGGGAAGAGAAGGGGAGGAGGCGACAGGAGGAGGAAGGACAAGGAGGAGGGGGGGGGAACAAGCCAAATCCGCCAAGGCGCAGCACTGCGATATATACGGTTAAAAGCCGCCCTCGGTTTTTACCGAGTCGAAGGCGCACTGACAGCGCTAAGTTGTACGTATCGTGAAACAGGAACGGGAGGAGGGAGGAGGAAGAGGAAGGCAGGAATGCACACCGCTGCGCGCGAACTCGGGGCGGCTCCTCTGAGAGAGGGCGGCCAGCGATTCCAGGCGGCCCTGCTGTGGCCTCCCTTCCCATGCATCTGGTGCGAACGCCAATTAAAAACACGGCGCGCAAGCCCCTACAGGGCGCGCGCCGCGACTCGCACAAAAGGGGGACAGTTGGACAGAAAGAGCAGAGCCAGGATACGGTAGGAAAGTGCACTTTGGAAGCAACCCTTCTGGTTGCCCTGGGGGCGTGACAGACCATGAATGACCACGTGCCCTCCCCGCCTCAGGGGCGTGCAAGATTCACGCTCATGCGGCTGACATGCAACTGGGAACGCACAGAAGAAGGAAAGGAGGAGGCGGAAAGACAGAATCAGCTACGGAAAACAACAGGCAGCATTTGGACCGACAAACTGCCCCGCGTGGGCTCGGAGGCCTCTGCCGCGACTGCCCCCCCCACGCCCTCCACGAGCGCATCGGCTGCATCGCGGGCCTTCCGGCCGGCCCGAAAAAACCTGCATCGCTGCTGAAACAGGGAGGAGGGAAGGAGGAGCAAGGAGGAAACGAGCACCGCCCACAACGAGCGCCACGGCTGCCTCTCGGGCCCTTCGGCCGGCCCGAATGAATTGCACCACGGTTGAAACAGGGAGGAGGTGAGGAGGGGAGGCGGAGGACGGAGGCGGAGGACGGAGGAGGGAGAAGAGAGGCATCGCTCTCGACGAACGTTTCGGCTGCATCACGTGTCACGGCTCTTTGCTGCCGCGATTGCCCTCGTGCTGGAACTCCATGTAAGCACCCGGCAGGTCCTGCAACGACAGGCGGCCCGTCCTCGCGCCATTGTAGCAACGATAAAGAGCATAGGTTGCCACTGCGCGTCGGCGGACGGCTTCCTTGTCCACTATCGTCTCGGCGCCTCCATCTATGAACAAGAACGCATCCAGCGCTGCGTCAGTTGACGTGGGCAGAATCTGAGATCTCCTTAGAAATAGCTGCCGAGTTGTGGGGCTACGGGCCAGGTGCTCGATGCTGTCCACCTGAGCACCGCAGCCCAATCTGCAAGCCCCGCGCCCCTGGAAGCGGGCCCTCGTGCACCAACCGTTGCACAGCAACCGCAGACAAGCCGAAACGACTCGTGGCTGGCACGCCGCTGAAATCACTGAGAGGGCACGCGTCGCCCTTCCTACTAGCCGGCCCGGAAGGACGCCGATCTGCCAACGCGCCAGCCGCCTGCGCAAATGCAGCTGCGCTCCCAACCCATGATCACCGCGTACCAGGTCCGTTGCTCGCCTCTGCCAGCCGGCTCTGTTTTCCCACTTTGTGTCCGGGGGGCGCTGCCGCCGCAGAGCTTGCAACTTGTCGTCGGCCTGGGACAGCTGCAACAGGAAACACTTTTCGCGCCAGGAGCGGAACCACGCCAGCCGGGCCAGAGACGCTTCGGCCGAGGCACATGACAGCTCCCGCATTGCCCTCGCTCGGGCGTGGACGCGAAGCTCCCCTTGCGACTCCCACTTGACGACCCTAGCTTTGGCTGCCTGCACGGCGGCAGATACGTCGAGCAACTCGTCGGGGAAATACGAAGCTCGCAGCTCCTTCAGGCAGGCCGGCGTAATCCAACACCGGGGGCCAGGGAGGAGCGCCTGGCAGGCCCTCGCCTCCGTCGCGTGGAAATCCGGGGGGAGATCCTCGAGTTGTCCAACAAACAGCAGCGTAGAAGCGGCATTCACAGTAATACAGAGCGACCGAGTGTGAAGCAGAAGCAAAACAAAGCGCCCCACGACTGTGAAGCACCATGCCTACTGTTTTCCCACACGGCTAGTCATCGAGAGCAAGGCCTGGGATGACATACCCCGCTGTCGCCGGACAGCTGATGCGATACGAACCCCCATGAAAACAGATCGGTTCCACCTGTGAGGATAAGGAGGGACGAGGAGGACGAGAAGGAGGAGGGGGAGAGAAGGAGAAAGAGGGGGAGGAGGGCAAATTACAACAATTTGTAAACTGACGTCGCCCATTGCTGTCTCGGGCGGCCCCGGCGCCTGCGGAGCAATACGTGGGGGCGATACTCCGGGGCGATACATGAGGCGATACTTTGGGGGCGATACTTCAGGGCGATACTTTGGGGGCAATACTTTGGGGCAATACGTGGGGGCGATATAGATGGAGGCAATACATCGGGGCAACACTTGAGGGCAATGCGTGGGGACAACACGTGGGGGCAATGACTGGGGGCAAGACGCTCGCCCCCGAAACCGTTCCCGCACTCTTATCCGCAAATGCGGGGTGCTACGCACCTCTTCAAAACCCACTCGAAGTGTCTCTCCAGCGCCTACGTGAAGTTCACATCGAGCGAGGACGCTCTGGCATCCCATGCCCAAAGCAAGTGTGTGCACCAGCTCTGCATGCGCATCGAGCGCGGGCGGTCCAGCAGCCCACGGCGCGCGCCCCAATACTGACATTCTACCGAGCGCGAGTCTCCAGCAATCCGGGCAGAATAACACATGGGTTACGTCACCGTCGCCATCGCCGACGTGGCCGTAGCCGTCACTGATCTCAGCATCGCCGGCGCCGTCGCCGCCGTGGTCGTCGCCGTCGCAACCCTTGCCGTCGTCGCCTTCGCCTGCGTCTTCTCAAGCGCCGTCGCCGTAATCGTCGCCGCCGCCGCCGCTATCGCCATCGCCACCGTCGCCGTCGCCACCGCTATCGTCGTCGTCGTCGCCGCCAGCGTTGTCGTCGGTGCCTTCGCCGGCGCCACCGTCATTGCCGCTGCCATTGCCGTCCCTCTCGCCGCGGTCTGGCCCTGAACTCTCGCTGGAAAGAGTTCCATTGACTGTGGGTTGCAGGGGGGTGAGGAGGTTTTATGCGTTTCTGCGGCCTTAAAAAAGGGTTCATGGATGCTCGATGCGACCCCAGAGTGCAGAGGACACGCAGGGAAGGAGGAAGACTGAGGACAGGGAAGGTGACACCCCCGAGCCCATGGCCCGCCCCCCGTGAACACATGTCCCTGCTGCCCCCCGTGCCGCCTCGCCCCTCCGAAACCATCGGAAACATCCGAAAACTTTGTGGGCACCGAAAACCCACAAGAGAGAGAGAGAGAGAGAGAGTGAGAGCGAGCCGCGCACGTCCGGGGTGCATTGTCACTGCACGTGGCATACGGGCACACAAGAACATGCGAAATCATTATCCTCTCCCCAGCCCTCCTCGACATCCGTCCTTCTCATCCTTCCTCGTCCCTCCCCCTGCCTCCCCCAAATAATCTGCCTAGAGCAAGTGCCTGGTTTTCCCTGGGCACCACCCTGACCCATCGTCCGAACCGTGTCAAGCCGCAGTGGCGATGTACGTAGCACCCCGCATTTGCGGAGGAGTGTGCAGGAGCGGCGGCGGAGGCGAACGTATTGCCCCCATGCATTCCACCATGGGTTGCCCCCACGCGTGGCCCCCAAGCAGTGCCCCGATGTATGGCCCCAAGGTCAAGCCGCAGTGGCGATGCATTACCCGCATTTCTCGCCCCCTATGTATTGCCGCAAAGTGTCGCCCTCATGTGTTGCCCCCAATCCCCATGGATTGCCCCCCCCGCCCTGTAAAAGTATCGCACCCAGAAGCGGAGCCCTCCATCCAGCCACGCGCGCGCACATGAAAGACGCAAGACCGTTCGGGCCCCGTCACTATGATTTACCACCCGATGGCACTACCCCTTTCCTCGAAACTCTACAGCCATACTGACCAAGACCTCCAGACCAGAAAGGGCGGTCCGCCGCCTGCCGAGTTGCCTCAGCGATCGCATGGGCGATCGAATGAAACATTATCCCACCTATCCCCCCGCACCACCTTCAGGAGGAGAAGAAGGAGGAGCACGAGGAGGTGCCTCCTTCTCACTTCTCACGAATATCCCTATCCCCCTCCGTGTCCGTCGTCTCCCTGTCCCTTCCCCCGTCCCCTGCCCTCCCTGTCCCTGTTCTCGCTGCCTCCTCGCCTTGCCCACCCCCAGTCGCGGCCCCTCGTCACCTGCTGCGCCGCCAGCTGCTGGATCTGCTGCTGCTGAGCAGCCATCACCTTGCGGGGGGTGAGGAAGGGACCGAGGACTGGAGGGGCAGGGAGGGGCGGTGGGGGGGGAGAAGAAAGGGACGGGATACAAGGAAGGATGTGGGGAGACGGGGGGGGACGAGGAGAGAGGAGAAAGGGCAACGCAGGAGGGAGAGGAGATGTTAGAGACGGAGGAGGAGGTGGCTACAGAGGAGGAGGAGGACCAACCTTGAGTTCACCCCTACCCCGACACTTGACAAGCCCAAGGCGATGACAAACTGACGAACGTGCTCTCAGCAACTATAGGCGCCCTTGAAATCGATGCCGAGATGAGGTGACCCAGTGACCCACATCTCAGATATAGGTATGTGGTTCAGGCAAGTTCAGGAGGGCACGGAGGCGGAGTAGGAGGAGCAGGTGGTCAGACGAAACGGACGAGGATGTTAGAGGAAGAGGAGGAGGAGGAAGGATGAGGAGGACGGGGAGGGGGTCGATGAGGAGGAAAAGGGATGATAGGATGAGGACGCTGGACCCCCGACAACCATGCCTGGCCAAAGCCATCCTGGGCCCTGGCATGGATTATCCGCACTCCTGGCCGAGACCCATATCGTCTATACACCATCCTACGGCCGACGATGCTCCTAGCCAGACCTGGTGGTAGTTCAACATGCCTTCTGCGGATCTTCCCAAGGACAATGTGTCGCGCGCAAGCGAGAGAAAAAATGATGTAGCACAGCAAGCCAAGGCTTCAGCAGACACGAGAGTGCTCTTGGCTCTGCATGATCAGCCCACAATCCAGTGAGGAGAACATGGATCTCCAAAAGGCATGCACCCAACATTTCGGCACCCCGGCCCAGGGGGCCGTCTCTGGATCCCTGAGCCTGCAGGAAGACGACCCGCGGAAAGAGAGAGAGAGAGAGAGAGAGAGAGACAGAGATATGAAACCACTGCTGGAGATGGTGTTCAGAGCTCATGGTGCCCACTGCGCTGATAGCGCTGGCGGCGAGAACACACACCGAATTCGGCCCATGGGCGCAAGGCAAGAATTAACCGCCCGTAGACGTCTGCGCAGGACCCCTGGACGTGTCCAAGTCAAATTCAGAAGAATTGACCGAATGGTAGGGGTGCAAAAGCACATGTGCAGAGCGCACGCAGATTCACGATGCTCCATGCGCCAGTGAGCTCCGAATCAGGCGGCACTGCTGGGACTCCCCAAAAATCTCCGACTCCTACGAGGATCCTTCGCCCTGCGGCGCCAGGACTTCAGTTGGTCACTTTTGCAGCATGAGCGCTGGGTGGATGGATCCTCTACCCTATGGGGTGCGTCTACAACATGTCCTCTCTCTCACTCTGTCTGGTAGTCAGAACAGTCCGTGGTTGCTGGAGCACGCGGCAACAAAAACTTCACGGGCAGTCTGGAATATCGACGGCATGCCTAGAAACCCTGGCACACAATTTGGGTACAAGCGGGTTTCTGCGGTCTTTAGCATATCACAACTCTCCTCGTTGAAGAATAATGGATAAGCACCGTCCGTCAATATAGCGTGCACGCATCCCTCACTTGATGCATTCGGATCCACCCTGGCGTGGATTGACACGCAAGGGATACATTGAAGGAACAAACACAGGGCACAAGCAAACAATGCAGCGTGGGGCATGGACAAGCCACCTCGTGACCCTGTTGATGCATCTGTACCGAATTCTGCTGGTGAGTCTGGGAGCCGCTTAAATCAGCATTGGCCGCATCATAGTCACAGTGAGGCATCATGGTCACAGTGAGCAATGGAGAAGGTGATACATGGGACACCACACCACCTGAACGATTGGACACGCCGGCATCGTTGCTTCGCTTGTTCCAGAGGACAGCGCGTGGGGCGCAGCCCTTTTCATGGACCTGCCTAGAGGGCGTACATGAGAATATGCGGGCGTGGCACTAATGCCCAATCAGTGGCAGGATCGGTCAAAGCAACGCCTGCTCTCCTCTCTGTTGGCTCCGGTTGCTTCTCCTTCTCCACCTCCTCCTCCTGCTTCTGCGACGTAGAACCCCGCAGCCCCCCTTGTGCGCCCAAGGGCCAAACAGAACATCAAACAACATCAAAAAACCTCTCCACTCTCCCTGCCCCTCCTCATACTCTTCATCCTCCTCCCCGCTCTCCCCCCATCTCCCCCTCCTCTGCCTCTGGGTGGTCATCAGAGGCCTCTGGATGTCTTCGGGACGTTCTCGGGTGGTTTCCAGAGGCCTCTAGAGGTCCCAGGAAACTGCGAAAAAGCAGCTGTCATTCCTCCTCCTCCTCCTCCTCCTCATCCTCCTCCTCATCCTCATCCTCCTCCCCCTCCCTCCCTCCCTCCCTCCCTCCCTCCATCCCTACCTCCCTCCCTCCTCTCCGAAGCCCAGAACACATTCCCTGGAGTCCTCCCTTGTCAATGGCTCCCCCGCTCCCAGCTGGAAGCCGCACATGTCTACACTAAGGTGTGCGGCGGGCCTTCGCCTGTGACATAAGCAATTGTTTTCGTCTCACGCTCGCGGACCTGCCCCAAATAATGCCCACTCTGCCGTGCACGGTGGCTGCCGCGAACGCACTTTCCAGGTCACGTTCCTGTCCCCAACTAGCCGTCCTTTGGCCTCACTATCGAGGACCCCATGTGGCAGTCACGCCCCGCCCATGCCCGTTCCAAAACATCTGGCGGCTCTAGAAACTCTAAGCTGCAGCTGACTTCTCTTGTTTTGGGGCCTGTGGAAACCAGTTCCAGGCCACGGGGCACTCACGACGCAAGTTGAAAACTGACCGCGGAGAAGGGGTCAATATTTTGAAAAGATCGAGCCGCCGCATTCCTGGGTTATGCCCCGCCCGTGCCACACTCAGGGCAACTATGCCCTGCCCACGCGGCGCGCCCCACGACGATGGCAAATTCCTGCCATGACGACGCGGGCTCTGGATTCTGCCGCCGCCGAGAAATACTGGATACTGAACGATCTCCACTGTGTGTGGGGGGGGGGAAAGCTGAGGTTGTCTTCGTGTGAGGCGCGGGTATGTATACTGGTATCCACCGCCTGAAGAGCTTAGGCGAGCGCGCTCAAATACTCGCAAAATTGCCACTCGCAAGTGAATTGGATCTGGTGCGGGAAAATTTTGATCCATGACAGAGACGAATAATTACATGTTGTTTCGGACGTTTGCGAGTAGGCAATTTGCGAGTAGTGGAACGCGCCCGGTGAGAGCTGGTGCTCCAGGACCGTAGGAGGCGGTGGATGCGGACATGCTGGGAACCTCGGGTGGCCAAAATGTGTCCATCTTCACCGTCCCCTGGAGGCCTCGGGGCATGGGCTCCCCAAGCGGAGGACATGGATAGATCCCTCCCTTGCACTTCGGGTGACCTCAACCCTGGGCGCCAGCGCCCGCACCGCCGCCGCGCTGAGGCGCCATGGACCAATTCAAAACGATTCCAAAGGCCGTGTGCATACACAACGTGTCGGTCGTTGTTCCTCCGCAGGAGGCTGGAGGTCCAGGATAAGTTATAAGGCCTGTCAGTGCCCACTCCGAAGCCCATCGCTAGGGGGCAGAAAGATATATATATATATATAGAAACAACAAAACAATGATAACTAACAAGGTTGTTGTGCTCTTCCGATTAACGCCGAACGTGCCGGCTGCGAAGGGGATCATGCCCAGACGCTGTCACTCGACTACGTGACGAAACTCAGGTCCTTGAGAGCCCAGCTCTCTAGGACGACCTCCTTCTGCCATGGTGGAGGGAGGGGAAGGAGAGACCAGAAAAGGCAGAGGGGAATATGGGGGGCCACATGCGAACCCCACCCCTGCCCCCCACGATTTCTCAGGGGGAGGGTGGGGTCCACTTCGTTCGGGAGCTCCCGAGCGAAGTGAACCCCAGCCTCCCCCTTCGAAATCGTGGGGGGTAGGGGTAGGGTTCGCATGTGGCCCCCTAGAATAAGCAGGAGAGCGAGTGGGAAGCACAGGGAATGGGAATGAAGGAAGCGAGGTTGAATGTGTAAGGGAGAAGTAGACGTGGCCTGGAAAACCCCACCCGAGCGTGCAGGAGAAACTCTGAGCCTTGGGGAGGGGCCCCAAACAAAGCCCATCCTGTGTGGATTGCCGGAGCTCCTCCAGGCTCTGCTGGATCTGCCTGCGCGGCAAAACCCGGAATGTCTGCCGCGCCCTCTCCCGGCCCACGTCCTTCTACTGCTGTTCCCCCAACACGAAAAAAAGAACACGCCCCAAACACAAACTGTAAGAAGTCCGCTGGGATGTTTTTCAATCGGAACCGGAGCTCCTTAATTGCCTGGCGCGTGGAGATTGACAGGGGTCGAGCCTGGCCGCCACGGGGGCCCAGCGCCGAACCTCCTCCTCCTCCTCCTCCTCCTCCTCCTCCTCCTCCTCCTCCTCCCCCCTCCTCCTCCTAATTCCTCCCATATCGCTGCGCGATCAGGCAGAGTCTTCAGAAACTCCCTACTCATCCTTCTCACCCTTCCTCATCATCTCGCCTTCTCTCAATCCGGCAGCTGTCCCTCCTCCTCCATTCCTTTTCTCTCCCTGTCGCACTCCGAGGCCAGTGTTTAGAGCGGGCCGGGCGTTTCGCCTGAGACTTCCTCACCGCTTATGACTCTGAAGCTTCGGAAAATGGGGAAAGTTCCACGGATTGAAGATCAACCGTTTTCAAAATGTGATTCTCGCCTGAGCGCCGCGCGCACTCGTGCTAAAAAATTGCAACAAGAGTTCCACGGATTAAGGACCACCCGTTTTCAAAATGTGGCTCATCCCTGAGCGCTGCGCTCATTCGTTCTACAAATTTGCAAGAGTTCCACGGATTGAGGATCACCCGCTTTCAATGTGTGGCTCTCGCCTGAGCGCCGCGCACAATCGTTCTAAACATTTGCAAGAGCTTCGCGGATTGAGGGCGGTTCCTTTTTCAAAATGTGGCTCTCGCCTTAGCGCCGCGCACATTCGTTCATACAACTTGCAAGAGCTTTACGGATTCCCACGATCAACGTACGAGAACTGGTATTCTGGAGGGAGTCAGGATTATGAGGTTGTAACTGTTACGTTGATTCGCGGTGTTGACGTCCCAGGAACAGCGTTCTGGCACGACTCGGGATCGTCAAGACGCAACAGCCAGGTTGATCCGTGGTGTAGGATTCCAACGGTTGTTTTCCAACGAGGCAGATCCCTCAACCGTTGTAGGGGCCTATGAAGAGGGAGCTTGGAGGGAGGCTGTATTCCAACATCGTTGATGGCTCTTGGGTCTACGCCCTCCTCCTCGTCATCCTCCTCCTCCTGCTCCTCCTCCTCCTCCTCCTCCTCCTCCTCCTCCTCCCCCTCCTCCTCCTCCTCCTCCTCCTGCTCCTCCTCCCCCTCCCCTGCTCATTATGCACCTCCTATTTGACTTCCCCCATCCTCTTGTTCCCTTGTCCTGCCTCGTCCTCCCTTCACCTCCTACCTCCTTCTGCTACCACTCCCTTTGCACCTTCCCCTTGGCCTCCCCCCGTCCTCCCTTCCATATTATGCACCTCATCCTTCCCTGCTCCCCCCCATCCCCCCATGCCTTCCTCCTTTTCCTCCGCCTCCTCCTCTTCTTCCTCCTCCTCCCATACCCCTCCCCTTCCTCCTCTTCCCTTCCTCTGGCGCAGAAGGCCCAGCGCCTGGAGGCCGCGCCGAGCAAGGGGGGTCTAGGCGCTGAACTCCTCTCTCCTGGCGCCGAACACTTCTTGATACTTGCATGTTCCTGTTCTCCGCTGTGTCTACTAGGACCGTCCAAAAAACGACCCAGGATGCAGGACCAGCCCCAGAGAAGGCGTCTGCAATTCCGGCGTCAACGCTGTGAACAAGTCGCGGCGCCCAGAGTTCTTGGGTTCTTCCAGACAGTCTTCGCCCCTGGAAGCCTTCGGGGCCGCGGGGACGCCAAAAAGCCAACCCGTGACGAAACACCGGTCCCAGAGGTGGGGTCGACGGCTCCTGGGGCCCAGCTCACGTCGTCGGCCGGCGTCAGTCAGGATCCAGGCAGCCCAGGGGAGGGAAGTGTCAGGGAGTGTTCCCCCTCCTCCTCCTCCTCCTCCTCCTCCTCCTCCTTCTCCTCCTCCTCCTCCTCCTCCTCCTCCTTCTTCTTGATCGGCTACCCAATGGCTTGCAATGGCAGCCATTGACTGCCCGATCGATCAGATCGAACCCGATTTGCAGATCGATCGAACCCGATCGCCTGCATGATCGAACCGATGGAATTGAGCCCCGCCAGTGGAGGAAGTCACCAATTGGGGACGACGCGGGATCGATCGATACCACGCGCAGACACCCGCCCGCGTCACAGAGTCGACCGAACCGTTGGCGGTGCTGCCACTCCCGCAGGTCGAGAAGATCTGCGGCTTTGGCTCTCTCACGGGTGCGCAGACACAAGGCCGTTGGCTCCCTGAAGGGTGCGCAGGCTCAGGGTACTCTACGGATGCCGAGATCGTTCCTTCGCAATCAGAGCTCCCTGCAAGAGGAGAAGGAGAGGATCCAGCTCAACGCTCCACACAGGGAATGATAGCTGCGAGCCTCTGGACAGGGGTCACAGTGATGGGCCCGGAGGTCCAAATGCCGCAGCTTGGAGAGCTCAGAACTTGACCGCTACTGATTGTCTCTGGAGCTGGGATTGAATTGGCACCGAATGATCTGCCAAAACAGTCGTCTTCCCAGACCTCCAACCCCTTTGCAAAAATCAAGACGGAGGCGCCTTTCGCGGTTTTCGGCCTGCGGAGGCCGTCCACAAGCCGCAGGACAATCAAACAACGACTCGGGATGAAAGGTCGGCCCTGGGAGTACCAAAACCACCAACACATCGGATTTCGGTATGTCCAGCTCCCCCGGGCTGCCGCTGCTGAAGTTCCTGAGCCTGCTGCATCTGCATCAGCACGTCCCGCTGCTGCTGAACCTGGAAGCAAGCGGCTGTGTATAGCAAGGCCGCTCGAGCTGCACGGAGAGAAGGAGCCAGTCAGACCCCAGCACTGGAAGATGGGAAACGAGGGAAGCAATTGTGAAATAGAGAGGGTGGGGATGGATCTCTCGGGTCACTGCGGGCACTTGCCGTACAGAATCAGCCTGCAGCTGCAGCAGCCAGCAGCCGTCAGAGAAGGAACCTTGCCCTCATGGCGCATGGACGCGGGCCTCGCCGCTGGATGCTCCAATCAGGCCAAGCCATGTCTCGGGACACACTGGTGTGGTTATGCGCTGGGACTTCAGAATGCAACCTCCCGCCGCCCACCACGCCCACCTCTGCGCTCCGTAAAAAAGAGTTTGGGGCCCTCCCCCGGACAAGGGGGGAGAGACCTCGCAAAAACGGCGTACCGCGCCAAGGGTCGGAGCGCCTTCGGCGCGCGGTGGTTGTCCGCGACGGGGGTCTGCTTGGGGCGGTCGGCGGGATTGGCGCCGCCCAAGCGCTTGTTGAAATTGCAAGATCTGACACACGACGTGGCCCTCCCATGCCATAATTCGTCTCGTGCGTGTTCTCTGTCTGCCCAAGCTGCCTGTCATTCACATTCAAGCAGATACGGGGCCAGACCAGAACAGGTGCAAGCAAGCACGAGTCTGCGCGACTGGGCATGAACACTTCAGGACGAGACGGCGCAGAAGACCGCATACACCACCACCATCCCTGGCCAGGCCAGGGCCCCGAATTCTTGACGAACTCACAGGCCCATCCCGGTGGCAAACTTGCCTGGCGTTCCGCACCTGTTCGGCTCCTGACAGCCCCAGGGGCTCGGAGCGCGCCCCCGAAGTGCCTCATTCTGCCGGTCGGCTCCCCGGTGGTGTGCGTCGAGGTGCCTTCTGCGGAGCAGGGCGAGAGTGCACAGAGACCGCTGCTCGGAGGCGGCGTGCGTGCGTGCATGCTGCGGCAGCCTGCGAGTTGAGCTGCGTCAGCGCGGCCAGGTGCCACTGCTGGGCGTGCTCCTGCTGCTGCTGCGCCACTGCCAGCGAGACCACGGGCTCCTGACATGGTCCAACTATGCGACGCGCTGGGGGGGGCAGGATCTACCCATGTCCATCTCCACCGCCTGCCGAGGTCCCCTCAGGCGGTGGTTATGGGCAAACTCCCGCCTCGGAAACTAGGTCACACAACTTCGCGCACTACACAATGCGGTGCGTCACGCGCAGTTATCTTCGCGCCCTCGCGCCCCCCCTGAGAAAAGGGTAGCTCTCCCGCCCTGGCCGCGGCGCGCGAAGCGTGATTATTTCCCCGCCCCTGAAAATAATATGTAGGTCAACGATCTCCCTGCCCTAGGAACTGATGTCCTGGGGCCCCAGGACGCAGCGGGCATCGATGTTGTAGGAGAACAGATCATAGGCCACCCTGCTTTCGTGGCTCCAGATCGTGTTAGAATACCTGGGGATATCTGTTGCGTTTCGAGCACCTGCCCACGGAGGCGCACGTACTCAAAAAAGCTCTGCCCTCCCCCCCCGCCTAGTTTGCTCTCCGAACTTCTTTTGGCCTCCAGACGGCTCCAGCAAAGCCCTCCGAGGAATCAACAAGTGTAACACTATTGGGACAGCTGCTTCTACTTCCACTGTTTTCAGGCTTGAGGTCGCCTCGGGAGGGAGTCAGAGAGCGACCATAATCACTCAAGACGGCCTCAAGAGCGCACTGTTCTGCTTCGAGACTGCTCCGCCAAAACGGCTGCAACACGTTGAACGAACATCCGGAACGGCCCAACGAGCTCCAGAATACACCAAAATTCTCGAGGTGCCCGGGCAACGCCAGCAGAATCACCCAGCGAGGCCATCAGTGGTGGGCGGTGACCCAAGAAACTCCCGCGGGTGCCGGACAGTCTGTGTGTGCGCAGCCGCCTCTCCCTCGAGCCCTCGGCTCCTCGGCCCGACACGTCGGCCTTCGCGCGTGGGAGCGATGCTGCTGTGTCGCCCTCAGCGTCATCACCATCATCACAGTCGTCGTTGTCGCCATCATGGCTGCCAGCAGGCCTCGCCACACCGCTTGGCGGACAAAACCTTTCGGCCTCGGGGGCTGTGAAGCGCCGCCACCGCGCCGCCGCCGCCTCCCGCTACGATCGCTCGCCTGCTTGCTCGATCGCTCGCCTGCTTGCCCGTCGCCGTCGCCATCGCCATCGTCGTCGCCGCCGCCGCCACCACCGCCGCCACCGTCATCGTCGCCGTCGCCCTCGTCGTCGTCGTCGTAGTCGTCGTCGTCGTCGTCGTCGTGGTCGTCGTCGTCATGGCCGTATCATCATCATAGTCATGATCACGATCAGGAGCATCATCCCCAACAGCATCGCCATCACCATCACAATCACCACCTCCAACATCATCAACATAACCATAATCATAGCAACCGTCATCAGCAATATCATCAGCATCGTGATCGTCACAGACTGAAACATCATATTCCTATAGAATCATCACCATCGTCATTGTCATCATCACAATCACCACCATCAACATCATCATCATCATCACCATCAGCATCTACATCTTTACCACCATCGTCATCATCAGCATCAACATCATCATCATCACCGTTCTCCTGGCGGGTTCCCTTCGCTCATCAGGCTCGACTCGCCGAAAAAGCCAAAACAAGAAAAGCAAGAAAAGCAAGAACAGCAATTATATGTCATGTAATATTACAAATAAATGGTCTACATTTCTTGAGTGTTATGATTTAATCGTGAATAGTCTGGAAATCTGGGTGTGATAATAATGAGTATATGGAAACAAATAGTAACCGGTTGATTTAATTGTTTTGGATACTGTAATATAAGATCATTAAGGGTAAGAGTACAATATTACACATACGAGTGATAGTGACAGTAGTAGTAGTAATCGTCGTCGTCGTCGTCGTCGTCGTCGTCGTCGTCGTCGTCGTCGTCGTAGTAGTAGTAGTAGTAGTAGTAGTAGTAGTAGTAGTAGTAGTAGTAGTAGTAGTAGTAGTAGTAGTAGTAGTAGTAGTAGTAGTAGTAGTAGTAGTAGTAGTAGTAGTAGTAGTAGTAGTAGTAGTAGTAGTAGTAGTAGTAGTAGTAGTAGTAGTAGTAGTAGTAGTAGTAGTAGTAGTAGTAGTAGTAGTAGTAGTCGTAGTAGTAGTAGTAGTAGTAGTAGTAGTAGTAGTAGTAGTAGTAGTAGTAGTAGTAGTAGTAGTAGTAGTAGTAGTAGTAGTAGTAGTCGTAGTAGTAGTAGTAGTAGTAGTAGTAGTAGTAGTAGTAGTAGTAGTAGTAGTAGTAGTTAGTAGTAGTAGTAGTAGTAGTAGTAGTAGTAGTAGTAGTAGTAATAGTAGTCGTAGTCGTAGTCGTAGTCGTAGTCGTAGTAGTAGTAGTAGTGTAGTAGTCGTCGTCGTAGTCGTCGTCGTCGTCGTCGTCGGTCGTAGTAGTAGTAGTAGTAGTAGTAGTAGTAGTAGTAGTAGTAGTAGTAGTAGAAGTAGTGTAGTAGTAGTAGTAGTAGTAGTAGTGGTGGTGGTGGTGGTGGTGTGGGGTGGTGGTGGTGGTGGTGGTGGTGGTGGTGGTGGTGGTGGTGGTGGTGGTCGTAGTAGTAGTAGTAGTAGTAGTAGTAGTAGTAGTAGTAGTAGTAGTAGTAGTAGTAGTAGTAGTAGTAGTAGTAGTAGTAGTAGTAGTAGTAGTAGTAGTAGTAGTAGTAGTAGTAGTAGTAGTAGTAGTAGTAGTAGTAGTAGTAGTAGTAGTAGTAGTAGTAGTAGTAGTAGTAGTAGTAGTAGTAGTAGTAGTAGTAGTCGTAGTCGTAGTGAGATTATACATATGTGAGTAATAGTAATCGTAGTAATCAACAAATATCCACACATGTACATAAACTACATATACATATATGAGTGCACACATAAATACATATACACACGTACTAGAACCACGCGCGCGCTTCGCGCGCTTAGGTTCTAGTCGACTCCGACAATGGTGTCCGCAGGCATCGCAAGCATCCCAGGATACGGTGGGACAGGTATCCCAGGCGTACACCGCCTTTCTCTCGCGGGTGCGCGGAGCCTCCTGGGGGGTGCCTCGGGGTCCAGGGCGGTCGCGGGGCCGCCTGAGAGCGCCATGGGA